AAATTTTCCATACAAAGGTAGGATCCCAACAATCAAATCAGCAATTTATCGATTTAAAAACAAATTCTTAGGTTACTCTCTCATTCACAGTCAACTTGGATTATTTTCAACTCTCAAGGGCATTTTCGTAATTTCACACCCAGATACTTTTGGTATTAACTCTTAACGAAAATAAATATAGTTTAAAGATTCTATGCTTAATTGCTTACCCGAACATTCTCGGATCTTGAAATGATTGATTAACATCGGATCTTGAAATGATTGATTAACATACTTCTAGTATCTTGCATAAACCCTATTGGGTTAAAAACCGGTTATCCAAATTTTCTAAGCAAACTAGCATTTCTTATGCACATCTATAGTTTTATCAGATCAATATATCCTTTTAGAGTTATTAATCAACTTCCAGGGACAATTCTTGTCATCTTACAACATAAGGGTATTTCCGTAATTTTACCCTACCAGAATATTCTCATAATTTTTCCATCCAAATACCTTTGATGAAATAAATTATATGTTACATGTCCAAGTTGATTCCTTTATCACTATACACAGAACTTGTAATTTTAATTCTAACAATCCATCAATTTCTTATAAAAGTCATCTGAACCATAATCAGTTACTGAATTTTTATCGTATTCGGATCGAGTGTAGAAATTAATTAACTACACATATGAGACCAATATTATCTTATTCATGCATTTACCAATATTCACATGTTCCATGAAGCATAAAGAGATAGTAAAGTATTACCTCGATTTTCGTGCAATACTGATCGACCATTAAATTCCATTCGAACGCCCTCGATCTTTAATTCAACTTCCAATAATTCCTCAAATACATAACAATATAAATTTTCATAAAAAACGTAGCTTAATTCTGAAAACGGATCGAATCGGGTGATTAATCAGTGCAAAACAACTTACCGGGTTCGAATTTGACGAAACAGACCTCAAAAACGGACTTCAGACGTCGAAATCCCAAAATAAGCCTTTATAAAAAAAAATAGTCAACTACGCTGCCATAAACTCCTTATTCTCTAATTCAAGCTTATTAACTTTGATTTCAAGCTTCCAGTCTTCTCATAAACTCGAACAATCTCTATTACGAAATTGAATCCAATTAATTTCCCTTGCCACAAAAATAATTTATTAAAATCTAAATAATAATTTAGGGGCCCAATTTAATATTTAGCTACCAAAGTAGGGACTAAATTAATCTTATTGAAACTATTAATACATAAACATAACTACATGGAAACTAGAAAACAAGGTTAAGTTCTTACCATTCCTCGAGGACTACCTTGATGATTTCCCCTTTTCTCCCATTATTAATTTTTTTTCAAACAACCCACGTGCTATCATTTTCCATTCACACTTTTCTTATTTCCCTTCTTCGTCCACGCATAATTCCTGTTAATAATCCTTATCAACATGCTTTGAAACAAGAAATCTTTAACTTCAAAATTTTCCCTCAAATTCAATAAAAAAACAGATTAAAATTGTTTTCAGAAAGTTCCAAAAACGAAAGTAAAAATATTTATTTACCTTGACCGAGTTTAGGACACTTGGCAAACCTCCAATAATGAAATAGTTTTCTTCATGGTGAATACTGGCAGTGGATGATATGCAAGCATTGGAACGACTAAAGAAAGAGGAGATGGAGCATTTTTCTTAGTTCTAAGATTTGTCTATTTCAAATATGACTTTCCACCAACATATCTTATCAATGAGTGGTTCAAAATATTTTTGATTAAACTAATAAAGTTCACAACAAAAATAGATGAATAGAATTCACGTGAATTTTAGCATCCTTTAAACCACATATTCAATTAAAACTAACCCCACCAATTGGGGTGTGACAATAACGCAGGTTGGGACCATATTGACTACCAGTGGAAACACCTCTTTGGTATAGTCGCTTGGAGTTTATGGAAACAGAGCAAATTTGATCCATTCCAGAGATGGTCAAATCCGCCTGGACCTGGGTAAAGCTATCCGGAAAGAAAACAAAGTTGGAGCTAGTCGACCATATATTTGGAAGCACAAATGGCAAAACTAGGCTACTAATCTTGTTAAGTTGAACACCAACGCCTCGGTGGATCTTGTCACCATGGAAGCAGTGAGTGGAGGGGCCTTTAGAGACAACAATGGTGGATAGATTACTGGCTATACCTGAAACATTGGACGTTGCCCAATATATCAGGCCGAGCTCTGGGGAATCCTCGATGACTTGCATATCACTTGGAACAAGGCTTCAGACACGTTATTATAGAATCTGACAATGGCGAACTTATTCAAAGGATGAACTCCACAAAACATGCTTTTGATGACGCTTAAACTCATCATATACACAGCCTTCTTAGCAGAAGCTGGCGTGTCAAGATTAGTCACATAAACCGTGAGACGAGCAAGCTGACTGACACTTTGGCTCATATGGGAAGGCACAACCCACTTGGACTCTCGCATCTCCAGCGGCCTCCGAATGGGGTTCAGATTATCCTTAGAGATGACAGAATGGATTCAGAAATTGTTTAACCCACTGTGTACACAGTGAACTTTATTCGTAACCAAAAATATAATAATAAGGTAACCAAAAGTCTATTTTATATCATACTCTAATTCATAATTTTTTATATATAATATTATTATGTTGTAATTCTTAAATTATAATTATTTTAATACTAATAAAATTTTCTAATTATATTTATTTTTAAATATCCGTCAGCTTGGATCTCATTTAACCTTGATCATTTTAGTGACACTTTTTCTCACCTCAGGCTCAGCTCTTACTTTATTCATCAATAGATACTACAATAGAATTTTCTACGTTATTTATCAATAATTCCTATAATTCCAAAATAATAGCATAAAGATGAACAATAAAGAAAAAATAAACTTCTATGCTACATTCAAATTGGTCACACAAATAAATCCAATATCCACAACACTAAGCTTGCTAGCTACGCATAGAGAGCCTAGATTACAACAATAAACTTGAGCTACTTTCTCGTATATGGAAGAAGTCGCTATCCACAATCTGTTTTTCTCCCTTAATTATAGATGTCGCAATTCAAACTCCGATATACGCCAAATTGACTAAATGCCAAATTTTACAGTGGTGACATGAACCAACAGAGCTAGTTTACACCACTATTTTTTTTGGATAAATCAAGATTTTATTACCCAAAAATAGCAGCAAGCTGCTTACAAATAACAGTTCAATCAAAGGAACAAGAAAGGGAGCAGTTTACAGCAAAACTAGGCTATTTCCCAATGATTACATAAAGCTATGTTTCTGCTATCAAATCTATTGAAGTTTCTATTACATAAAGTAGTTCTTACCATCTCCTTAATAGCTTTTATAATATCTGCTTCGGTTCTACAAATTCCTTTAAATATCCTTCGATTTCGTTCCTCCCAAATGGTGTAATTAAAGGCGTTCCATGACAGCTTTAGAATGCAAGACAACAGAGATTTACCTTTCCATGTAGAGGTAGCCCATTCCAGCAAATTAGTCCAGTCTGAGAATTGTCTGTTCAAACCAGAAAGTTGAAGGATTGATTTCCAAATGGAAGCAGACTTCGGACACTCGGCAAAGAGGTGGTTCCTAGTTTCCGTTGCTTCCGAGCAGAACATGCAAAGATCGTTGGTGATAATACCAAGTCTTTGCATTCTGTCCTTGGTGGGTAGACGGTCCAAAATAACCATCCATGAAATTATGCTATGCTTCGGGACATGAAGAGGATACCAGACTAGTTTATGCCATGCGACTTTAATATCTCTAGGACGGATCTCTTCCCAAATCTTTTTAGTGTTTTTTACTGCTGTTACACGCACTATTTGAGCGACATTTCTGAGCTTCAGCATTCGCTTGAAACTCCAGCTAGCAGTTTGCGGTTCTTCCATGGTCCAGAAATCATGCTGCCTAATTATGTAGTTATGAAGCCATGCTATCCATAGAGAACCCTCCCTCACTAGTAATTTCCTGATCAGAAAAATTAGGCAGGCGTTGTTCCAGGACTTGATATCCTTTAATCCCAAGCCTCCTTCTGATTTCGGTTTGCAAATTTTCACCCAACTCACCCTTGCACCGACAGCAGAAGTGTCCGATCCTTTCCAGAAAAATCTGGAGCATAATTGCTCAAACTTCTTGATAATGGACTGTGGTAAAACTAGTTGTCTACACCAATAATTAGCAACGCTGAAGAGAACCGTCTTAATAAGCTCAGCCCTTCCTACATAACTCAATTTCTTCCTAGACCATTAGTGAAGTCTGCTCTTGATGTTGTCTAGCAGAGCTTGGCAATCTTTATCGGTAAGCTTTCTGGTGACAAGAGATACCCCCAGGTATCTAATAGGCAGCCTACCTTGTTTGAAACCAGTATAGTTGATGATAGAGTCAAGATTATGAGCCGAAATACCAGCAGTGAAGATATCACATTTACCTGCGTTGAGCTTCAACCCTGAATATTCATAAAAACAGTCCAAAACAGAAATGACTCCCAAAACAGAATGAAGGTTTCCTTTGCAGAAAATTAATAAGTCATCAGTAAATGACAAGTGGGTGAGTTCTATTTTCTTGCATTTTGGATGGAATGAAAAAATCCCTCTGGAAGCAATGTTATTGAGAATATTAGAGAGCACATTCATAACCAGAACAAATAAAATAGGGGAAAGCGGGATCTCCTTGTCTTATTCCCTTTGCGCCCTTAAAAAAACCAACCAAGCTTCCATTGAGAGCAATGGAATATCTAGCATCCGTAAAGCAAGAAACAATCCAATCGATGAATTTAGAAGGTAAATCCAGAGCTTTAAGAACTGCATAAATAAAGTCCCAATTGATGGAGTCAAAAGCCTTTTGAAGATCAATTTTCAGTGCACACCTTGGTGATATGAACTTCCTCCCATATCCTTTAACAATTTCCTGCGCAAGAAGGGTATTATCAACTATACTCCTTTCTTTGACAAAAGCAAAATTTAAGCCATTGTTACTAAGCCTAAAGATGGGAGCAAAATTCAGACATCACCACGAATCATAACTCAACGGTTAACCTAAGACTAATCCGTCTTTGAGAGAATATACTGCTTACAGTTATAAGTCTTCAATCTGCTCCAGGGAAGAGAAATGTGCATCAACTTTGTTGAGAGTTTCTTGATCAATTTCAATTGGTGTAAACAATTTTCGCCTTGGATAATTAGCTACCTGTCCTGGAGTTGCATTGTTCTTTGGACCCTGCTCATTCAATGCTTCAACATCTTTAATTTCTGTTGGAGTAGACATTGTGGTTTGATTGTAAAGTTGCGCTTTCATCTCTAGACAAGATTCTATATCCTCTTCATTTCGAGCTTTGTTCAACTTGTTGACAATATTGCTTAACCTTGAAGACCTCTCAACCCACAAGGATTTTTCCCTTTTCAACATATTATCGAGTTTATTTTGGTCGTTTGGATCAGTAGAACCATCATTAGGTTCACTTTTCTGAAGCTTTTGTATTCCCTGATCAACAATTTGCTGTATCCTCTTTCTGGCATTATTAGTTCTCACAGGATTCAATCTTAGTCTCAACTTCATACCTGAAGTCATCACCAAAGTCTCACCTTCCTGTGAAGTGGGGCTAAGTTCAGACCCTTCATCCACTGTTTCTGTAGAAAAGACTTCCTCAAGTAAACTAATATTCTGCATGTACCGGTCAAAAGCATTGTTTTCGATTTCAATATTTCTGTCCTTGAATTCCTTTAACTTGGAAAACCTCCACTCATTCAAGGCAATAGCATCCTGAAATCGCACAAGGGATAAGGCTGATAAATCAAAGTTGAACAAGAATATCTGTTCAAAACTATACCACACCTTTCTGGTCACGTGTTTCTTTGTGCGAACCAGCAGATTGTCAAACTGTGCAAAAGCATTGGAAAGTTGACGATACGAGGGAACCCTTAAGGAAGTCCTGAATAACATTCAACATGCAAAGAATCAGCCACAGGTCAAACGACAAGCTCAAAGATCAATTCAAAGCTCAGAAAGATAGCGCTGAACTCATTCAGACATGATGAAATCAGCAATTCAAAAAGTGAAACAAAACAGTCTGCGGCCTTGAAGATTTTAGGAACACCCAAAAACAAGTGAGAAACAGCATGCATGCCTAAAAAAGTTTGGCAATTATGTTCCTCTCCAAAGTACCAATTTCACATGAAAAATGACATTGCTTATAGAGAAATATGCTTCTCAGATTTTGCCCCATTCTCAGTTCTGACAGCTACACAGAACAACATCTATGCCCAAATCAAATACGAAAACTTGATGCTTATTCTGAGTAATAGATTTTTGCAACTTACACTTGAGAAGAAGACTGAGTTGATTTCTGGTCTGATGATGGAGTGCTTGAAGTCTTTGACTTGTCTGGAAAAGCTGAATTTGACTTTAGAACTGAAATTGCAATATAAATCAGATAGTTACTTATGATTTGAGGTGTCTTTTGTATCGGGTATTATTATCAATAAAATTTGAGGTACTCTTTTCTTCCTTCCAATGTTTGTTAACATACTTTTAGTATGTGAACGAATACGAAGGGAGTTTTTAATGAGACCTCCAACTTCTATCCAAAAAAAAATCAGATAGTTACTTATGATGCCCATTGTTTCAGTCCTTGACAATACATATATTCACTGAAGTCTTGGAACAAACTCTTTGTTTCTCCCCCTCTAAAAGAACGTAAAATCTCCGAATTTCCATACCACCTACAGGTTACACTACTTTTAGCTCAATTAGAAACAGAAGTGCTCTACCAAGAATAAAACAAACATCTACAATGAATTCGACAGTCCTAGTTTAATGCTTGCGTCTAACAGTGACACCAGATTTCAGAGTGTTCTTACTTTGTCACCTAGCTAGAAATTCAGAGAACAATACAAATACTTGCAACCTAATCAAAACCTATTATGTTGTCACTCAATACAAGCACTCGTGTGTATTACACATAACAGACAATGGCTTTCAAATGAAAAGGATATAACAAGCATTAAACCAATGAGTTCACACAACTATTTGATAACCTCTCCAAGATAAGAATTTAGCCAAGCTCCAATATCTTTAAGAATGTGAGAGAATTCGCTTCTTGTGGAAAATTCTACAGGATTGATTCACCAAGTACATTGCTTTAGAGTGTTCTGAGGATGTAAGGTAACAAATCGTCTCAATGTCACAACAATATATCATCTAAATGGTACTTGCAGTTTCATGTTTTAGACATCAACTTATAACGTCGTCAAATGGTAACAAAATTAAAATGTTAAATCTTCTGAATTAAGCTACCAGTTATACATAAAGTTTCCATCTGCAACTGCAAAGTTCCCAAAAAATGCGTTTCAAGGTATATGACCTTCGTTGCTCCTACTATTCAATTTGCAGTACTCATGTCTAACACGTATCCAAACATTTGCAGACACAGGCATGCACTAACCCTAAAACTCCAACCTCTTCATTTTTTTAAAGTAACCACAAAATCAGATATCATCTTGTTATCAAAACAACCAATTTGACCTTAGAAAAAACAAAATAGATTCTCAAGTTTTCTTGATTGATTCGTTCTTACCATGTATATGGCATGGATTTTGGGCTTTTGAGCAACAACTCTTGCATGAGCGAAACGGACACCTGCACAAATAATTCAAGAAACAAGAATGATTTGGTGGGTGGTTTTTATTAAGACACTATCACTGGATTGTTTTAGAATCCTCAAAAAATAATAATAATAAATAATCAAACAGCCAATTCAAGTAATTATGGCAACTTATAAGTTAATTACATAAGATTCAGTAGACAGGTATCAACTATATAGACTCAATTGTAGAGCTTACAAGTTTTACCAAGATTTATAAGATAACAATAAAAGTACACTGAAACACACTAGCATTGAAGCAAAAGCGGCACAACTTCGGTACCGCACTAACTACTTTGATCTTGCTGTTTCAATGAATGATTTTTTTCCCTAGAGCTATTTGTTATTTTATGGGGTAATTACCAAATTCCAACTATATTAAAATACAAACCAAAATAATCACACTTTTTTGTCAAAAAAGAGATTAAAAGAACAGAGACAGAGAGAATTTCGTTTACCTGGAGCGGGCAACGTTGCCGCACTGAATACATTTGGGCTTATTAAGACCCGCTGTGTCTTAGGCGGAGTATCCATACGCTGAAACGGCGGAGGAAGAGATACCGCCGTAGCAGCTGTCGCTATCGGCGTCGACTTGGTAGAAATGGAGGTTGTTTCGCTGATGCTTTTTGTCACGGCTGGCGATGAGGCCGCCATTTTTAGGCACGTGACTTTCGCTCTTACTCTCTATGATTCTTCCTTGATGAATTGGATGTGATAGCACGTGACCTCTCTGGAATTAAATTTTCGGGGAGTTTGGGATTTGGGGATGAAATTTGATTCCGCAGAAAGGGAAATTAGGGATTTTAAAATTTTGTTAATATGGACTGTGCCTCTAGAGACTTGGTCAGAAAAGCCCAAAATAACCCAAAATTTTCATTTCATAAAACCAAATTTGTTAAATATTTACAATGGCTTTAATCTTTATCGTAGAGAATGATTAATTTCTAGGGGGCGACAATCGGCTGGGAAAAAATTAAAAATCATGGGGATTTGAACCGATGAGATGTGGAATAATCGAAATCTTTACTTACGTGATGAGGATGGTAGAAGTTTTATCTTCGAAGCTCAAATGTGGATGAGGACGAAGATTATTATATCCGAACTGTGGGAATAACCGAATCGTACCTGTGTGAATAATTGTGAGATCCCCGAACAATAATCGTAGAGATCCCGATATTTTACAAAAATAAATGTGGGGATCCTCAAAAATATCTATGAGATTACGTATTATCACTGTTATATCTCAAATGAACTAAAATTGAAGTTTAGATATTTTCTCATTTAATATATATTGATTCGTTGAGATTGAAAATGGTTAAGATTATACATATATATTGGGTGTTAGATGAATATTAACGTTTGAAACTTTCATATTATAAATAGAGATCAATTTGAGGCAATCTAATATATCTTACAAATTTTAGGTGTTGCATCGATTTCAAAATGTTTGTTTATTTTTTGGAATAGATATTAACCGAAACCCGTAGGGATCTGTAAGGGATGAGTATGGGGACAAAAAAATCCCTAAAGCATATAATAAGAATTCCCCAAAACCGTACCTGCAAGTGTTGGAGACGAAATGAGTAATGCAAAACCGACCCCGCCCCATTGCCACCCCTATTCATTTCCTGCAAAAGAATTTTTTTTCAGTTGTTAAATAGGATTATTAGTGAGATTAAACTAATTTCGGATAATAACCTTTATCAAGGTGCTAATGAGTATTTGCTGTAAAATAAAATTGATTTTAAAATAATATTTTATATGATTTTAGTGTATAATAATAAATCTTCTAATTCTCTTTCAAGAGGTTGATTCATTAAATGATAAGTGATGATATTACCAATGATTCGGACATCTTCATTTGGATTTACAATAATCTTACATGCTAATGAAATATGCAGATTATAAAATAGTAATGAACATGTGATGACAATAAAACTAAAAAAGCTACATCTTCCCTTCATGAATCTCATACATGCACAAGCAAACAGAGTTTGTCTCCAGAACAGGCACATGAGAGGAAGATCTTGTAAAACTACCCGAATCGAACAATCTACTTAACGTGCCTTCACAACAAAGCAGAATCTATGGAGATTACGGGGACCAAAAAGCGTTACCGTCACTGCTCTTTCCATATCCTTCCCGTCACTCTAAGCTTCAATTCTTTCCGGTCTCCCCCTGAGAAGAACAAAGCCATGTTGCGCTGGACGATCAGACCGTCGAAACTGTCACGGACCTTTCGATGACTGTCTCTTATGCTTCTTGGCACCCCTTGCCAAATCATCTTCCTCCCATTCCCACCCACCTCCAGGCTGTAGCTATAATTCTTTGCTTCGTTATCGTCACCCATAAACCGCAAGAATGCTATGTACACGGGAGAGACCCCAAGTTGGAAGGCTTCAAAATGCAGGCAAAAGTACTGACCAAAGCAACTGAAAACCTAAAATTTGAGAAAAAGGACTCCAACTATCAGTGACAATCTTTAAACTAAAATCTAAAACAACGTTAACTTTATTGGATATCATTGACGGTAGAATAATTCCTCTTCTAGAGGTTAGAGAGAAACCAAATATGACACAGAAAAGTGAAGCAAGCATAAAGCAATAATACCGTTAGCATCCATGTAGCATTCTCAACCTCGTGCGGATTTGATTTGACATAACGATGGTTGAAAGTGCAGCCATTGTGCATGTCAACTTTGTGATCATCTTTCAAGTGGCCCACAAGATATGGAATGTCACCAATGATTGTGCATTCTGACCCAGCATAGGGGCAGCTGTATGGTCTATAAGAGCACTGGGACTCGTGTTTTAGCTTGCTGTAATACGGATAGATGCCTATGCACCCAAAACTCTGGTATTTACAGGGAAGCTCAAGAGATGCAGCAACCTTCTCCAACGCCAGACACCTAATATTACCAAGTTCATGCCTGCACGTAGGACACCGGTTGTGCACCCTTGGCTTGCAACCAGAACACAATGTGTGTCCATTTGAGCACTACATAAAGAAAGAAAATCAGCAGTTAATTTATAATGTTCTTGTTAATGTTTACTATTTAACAGATGCAACAAATTACAATATATATAGCAGATTCACAAGCCAATAAAGAACACAATGACAAAGGAATTTCATTCCATACCCTGCTAAGTATACATTATAGTTATGTTACTTAGACACTACGTGTCAGACCCAGTATGTTCCAAATTTTCCAACATTCCAGTATTTTGAGTCCGAGGATTCTACCAGAAAGAAATTATAGAAGTTGCAAGGAAGCAATTTCATAGTAATCACCGATTAAAAGGATTCATATGAAAAACCTGATGAATTGGAGGGTACATTGCATTTAAGCAAACAGGGCACTCCAGCAGCTCACGAACATTGCTGGACACAGTTACATTCGGTTTAACAGTAGCTTGATTAGCATCATTAAGAAATTCACAATCCATGAGGTCTTCATTTTGTGGAGGATCAACAACCTTGGGCTTGCTTTGCAAGTCGCCAAAAAATGGATTCCCAGATGACATGATAAATATCAATGCATGGTCTAGACTGAAAATATAAACAAAAACGAGTTGACATTTCGCATACTATAAAATGCTTTATATGAATCAAATTCTACGATCACCTTATTGTTCCAGGAATCATCAAAAACCCTCACAAAACAATATTCACTATTTACGAGCAATGGGTAAAAAGCATTTTACTTGCTTAGAAGCATAATGATGCCAAATTTTAGATGGAACCAGGATTCGATCATTCAAAGTAACGAATTTAGTACAATCACATCCATTAAACCGACATGAAGGGTAACCTAACAGAAAGGTCAACATAGATATTTGATTAGTAGTATCAAACCAACTTATATTTGATCATTCTTCGTGGTAACCAATTCATACAATGTTTTGTCCTAAACCGACATGCAGGATAACCAAAACACAAAGAACCACTGGTATTTACCATTTTAACAATTCATTAAAGAATCAGCAACACGAGTTCAATTAATAATTAACATTTGATTATTTGAATCAAACATTAATATAGAAATTTAACAAGTCATTTAAGAATCAATGGCTAGGATGTAATTAGTCAAGATATGATTATTTGAATCAAATCAGTCTATTTATCATTCAATAATAATAACTAGGGTTCATCAATGCACATCACACAAAACTAGTTTACGATAACAACAAAAAGAATGAATAAAAATTTGTCATAAAAACAAAATGTTTTTACCCCCACTTTTTAAACCCTTAGCCTTCATTTTTTTCTCTTAAATTTCACCAACCGGTGTGCATTCCACCTTAATTAAAAAAAAAACCCAACAATCCCCCTTTTTCATAAATACATGACAAAAATTCACAACTGTGAAGATTACAAGTTAGAGCAATATAGGTGAAACAATGGACAGTCTTTCTTGCGATTTACTAAACCAATAAACATTAAAATAAACTTAAAGAATCAAACAGATCTACGGTATTCCAAAAGAGGAAACTTTATAACCAATGAAAGAAAAAAAATCCAGATACCGAAACACACACAAGAAGAAGATGAAGAAAAAAAAACCCACCTTCGGGTCAAACTCGAAAACCCATTTGAATAAAAAGAAAGCCGCCCAAAATGAAGGAGAAGTTTGGAAGAAATTGTAAGGGCGTTTATGGCGTAATAAATAAAGACATAAATGGAGAATTTGAAATTAAAGAGACGGAGGGAGCGCGGTGGGTGCTTGGAAAATGGATACAGAGATTCTCGAAAGATACAAATACAATTATTTTGGTCATTAAGTTTTTAAGGTATTATATTTTGGTCATTAAACTTTTCAAATTTACAATACAATTATTAAATCTTTAATTTATTTTTAAAATGGCCATTGTTGTCAAACATCGTCGTTAATCAATTGAGTTTTTCTTTTTTATTTCTTTCACCCTTTATGTCTTTTATTTCTCCATTGTATCCTCTTCGACTTACCTCTTTGATCTTTCTTTTTTTCTTTATCTATTTTCTTTTTCATATTCAATTTAATGTGATTCACTCTCGTTATTACTGATATCGTCGCCATTTTTTTTTATCTTTAACCTTTCAATTTTTATTTTATTGTTCTTTTCTCGAATCGTGACCTGATTATTCTATAAAATTTTGCTTATTTCTTTTGCTTGTAACCAATAAACCATCATCCTTTCTTAGGGACAAAGAGAGACAAGAGTTAAACGAAGGGAAAGAGAAAAAAAAAGTGAATGTGTCGCGTCAATTTTTTTAACGACAGTTGATGATAATAGTTATTTTGAAAATAATTTTGAAAATTTAATGATTATATTATTAGTTTTAAAAGCTAAATGATCAAACTACAAATATCTTTAAAGTTCGGTAATTAATTATGTAGGATGCTTTGACGGTTTGGAAGCTTCTAAATATCACTCCAAAGATGATCTTTCGGCAATACTTCCCTCGAACCGTGATCATTATAAGCCGTAAACCGTGGGCATTCATCTTCCAACCGGGGAGGCCCCTCTCTTCATTTTCGATGTTTAAACATCAATTACGTAAATTACTATATAGTTTATATATAAAAGCATGCTATGTAGGCACAATATGAGTAGTGTATTCAGAAATATTTTTTAGGGTGGACACACATATATTAATAATTATTTTTTTAGATGAACACAAATAAAATTTCAGAATGAATATATATAGTAAAATAAACAATTAATATAAAGAAATTCGGATTTCAAGATAGATATGTATGTACCCAAAGTATGCTTTGCATCTGCAATAGCACAATATCAATATTTTATCGTGATTGGGTTCACATAGTTCGAACATAATGTTTTCCACCTTATCCTCATTTGATACATAGAAAAACCTTGATTTTATTAAAAAATGTAGATACTCATTTCCGTCCGAAGTTTTTTTAATGTTGTATAATCTTTGTTTTTAACATATAGTTTTTTTTTTCTTTATTTTCCTTTTTAAATCGGTTTTTGAAAGTATATTATATAGTTTTGAAAATTATTTTTGAAAATATATATATTGTATGGTTTTGAAAATGATTTTTGAAAATATATATTATAGTTTTGAAAATTATTTTTGAAAATATATAGTATATAGTTTTTGAAAACATATATATAATATATAATTTTTGAAAATATTTTGAAATATATATAATATATATAGTTTTTGAAACATTTTAAAAACATATATATAATATATAGTTTTAAAAACGTTTTTAAAAAAATATAATATATAGTTTTAAAATATTTTTAAAAATATATATAATATATAGTTTTAAAAATATTTTTAAAACATATAATGTATAGTTTTAAAATATTTTTGAATATATATATATACTATATAATTTTGGAACTATTTTTGAAATATATAATATATTATTATTCATTTTATTGTTATTTTTTATTTTTTTATTAATTTTTATTTCTTATTTCCAGGTCCAAGTCCAAAGTCCAGAGATAGGCCCAACCGGGTAGCCTGACCCAACAGACTCGATTCGGTTCAAATAAATTAGGGTTTTCATATTTTAGTAAAGGCACCGCATAAGAGGGAGTTAAGGGAGCGCGTATGAAACCACACGCCAGTCAACATAGAAACGGCCAGCCGATATCCCGGGACTGAC